CACACACACACACACACACACACACACACACACACACACACACACACACACACACACACATATACATACATGCACATGTATGCATCTATGCACACAGAGTACACACACGCATCTACACATGCACTGACAGTGATGCACGCAAAAGCACTTACGTATCCTGTATTTATGCTAATCATAGACTATCCGTCTATCAATATCATGTAATTTTATCTATACATGTATCAATAATGTTAATCCTGCGTTTGCGATTCCGAATTGCGTTTAAATACACAAATTTAACACGTTACTTCGGGAAGGTGTTATATCTTGCTACCATCAATAACATGACTAGCTAAAAACAAAACTACACAGGCAGCATATGTTCTTGCGTGCTATATATGAGGGATGTCGTATAAAAACAGCGAGGTTAGATAGGTAATGGGAAACAAAATATCTCACGCTGCAACTCAACCAATCAAGTTGTGTCGTTTTGAGATCGAGAGGTCGACGAAAACAAATCGATCAATCAGATTGCTCTCGTCGATAAGCGCGGATTGCATCATGTGATGGGAGAGCCTCCGTGACAGTGTAAATTGGTCAGCAGTTTCCTCGCCATAGAATGAGATAACTTGCTATAAGGACACTTTAGCCCATTACCCTTGAACTGTTGGTTACTTACAGGCTTTGCACTCTACTTAAGGCAGCGGGGTCAGAACATCGTCACGTTAATTGCTCAATGTTAAATTGCTATGCTACGATACACTTACACTAATGTTAATGTTACGAGAGGGCTGTGACAGAAACACATCTCAGTATTTATGAATTACGATAACAGGCAACTCATCCAATGCTGCCTGTTGAATGGTGAGAATCTATCACAAAATTCAAATTCATACAACATTTATTACACATTACAGTTATTGATGATACTTATGATGGCTAACACATTGTAAATATATTTGATGAAAACGCACGTGGTCATTAATTTATTCTGTCAAACAGGACAAAATTCTCAACACTGTAACACAGGGACGCGAAGAGTGTGGAGAGTCTGGCCAAGATAGTTAGACATGTAAATGTGTCTAACATGTGTAGTCCACGAGGTGTGGGACATGTAGCCTCTGGATTTTACTGCATACAAACTGTACCTTACTGAGTTACCTGTATAACAAATCGTCTATTACCTACACGTATTGTTACCAGATACAATTTAATTGTATTATAAGTTATGACACATCAACGCTACAAATCTTGAACGGGCCATGACTACGACCCTCACTCCCACCCCCCGCCAACCGCTGCTTGCCACCCCGAAAAAGTTGGTATTTGAATTTCTCGGCACGTTACAGCGAGGGGTAGATTCAGCAAAAGTGCAATTATTATTTATCTAATGCTATGTTAACGAACGATATTTCATTTTAGGGAAATTTATCCATATTATTAACTGAAACTATATGTCGTTTATAAGCACATTTACATCCTTTGCTTTTAAATTAATAAGATAAGAACACCCTCCGGTCTGTAGCCCTTGGCTGGAAAGTGGTTTTGCGGCAGCTTATCAGATCGTGACGCTTGAAGTGGCGCCATCGTCGTTGTAATCAACTGTAGTTACTGTTTAGTGTTTAAAACATTTTTTAATATAATTTCTAATGCCGATGAGTTGAACTATGAAACGTTTTATGTAGCTAATTTTAAACATTAATTCAACTGAAAATAACCCTCAGAACTAAAGTAAATGATTCACTTATAAAACAAAGAGACAAATGTCATACGCCATTTGTAAATGTATTGTTTGTTTTATTAGCTCGGGCTAGATAATTAATGATATTGACGTGTGTTTCAAGACAAAACACACATTTTTAGCTCGCTTGAACATCGTCAAGCTGAGCTTTGCCTGGGTCGTCGTCCGTCGCTACGGTCGTCCGTGTCCGTACGTTACGTCCGTCCGCCCCCCCCCCCCATACGTCCGTACGTCCGTCCGTCCTGCTCAACATTGGCTACCGCGTCAACGTAACTCAGGAACCGTTTGACCCAGATGTTTGAAATAGAGTCCGAAGTGTGACCGTCACGTTGTCAGACAACATACGGGCTTGCGTTTTCTACACTATCCACTGGGCTCCATACATTACAAACTGCGTGAAAGATGTTGTGCGCTACGGTAAAACACGAGTCCGCTGTGTGCGCCAGACAGCCTGTAAACGCATCGGTATAGCAAGTCGATCTTAAATCATTTAATGATTTAAGAAAAAAAATTAAATTTATAAACAACTTGCAATAATGACTCTCAGCAAGGAATTTACAATCGGGTACAAACACAAGCAGCAGCAGTTAACTGTTACCCAGAGCATATCGTTGGTAGAACCAGTAGCGTCTGTTGTCATGCCAGTGGTGCCGTCATCACTTGCGGTACTCTATTGAGGTATAGTTCGCTTTACTGCTATGCTCCCATAATTAAACGCTCCTATTTCTGAGCACGCCAGTCGGACTACCCATGCGTTCGCGTACTTCGGCCACAGGTAATTTTTTGCGCCTCAAAAATGGGATTGCATTAGTTCAGTTTCGCGTTCACGGATATTTGCCATTTTGCGTAGGTGACTGAATAAGGGCTAGGGGTTTTTGATATTAAAAAAAAATGCAAATTACGGTAGGCATTTGGCAATCTATATAGCATATTATATAGGCACGCAGATAACGAAACAGATCTTGGCTGTCACACTTCGTCTGGTTCGTTTTAGCAAGATTTATGACAATATCTTTAATGCAAAAATTCCTGCTATGAAATATTATGATTTATACTATTATTATTTATTATTATTGTTATGATATAATGATTATGCTAAGAACACATCAAGGGGGATAGGTATCTACCAGTCACCAACATGTATCATTTTGTTTTAATGATCTATAATTTATAAATACAGTGCGGCGAAAATAAGCGTTGTCCCGGTTGTCCAGAGACAACACAATTTGCGCGGACATACCCTAACCAGTCTGAGACTTGTCGAAGTGGACAACATAAGAAAAATGTAGACGACAACGCACTTTATTTAATGCTTTTCTCATGTGGTTCTCCTAAGACACTTATAGCCTGCGGCCCAGCCATTAATCTATGGGCTTGGGGAAAGCGACGCATACCAGCTGCTATTTCATCCAACACTGGTACTCATGTTCAGCGTTTCTGATTTATGAGAGGCTGAATTCGACTTTGGAACCAGCACAACCAGCAATGTTTCACCCCTACATATTTGGTATTTTTATATCCATTTTATTTTGAATTTTCGAAGGCTTTGCCCATCGCAAAACAAACAAAACAGTGGGGATTTCAATGTTGATCAAAAGTTTAAAACAAAGGCAATTAGTCGTAGTCAGACATTGAAGGCTGCTACATGTTACTCAAGCAATGCCGCAAATACCAGTCTCTGGCCGCATCTACATTCTTCAAAATTTTCTGGTGGGGAGGCCTCCATACCCCCCCGCTTGTTTTTAACCCCCTCTCTGGAATCCTAAGATCCGCCACTGAACAATTAATTCTTCGGGAGCAGCAGAACAATGAACAAAATGTCGCCTTTCGACTGGCACCCAAACAAAGATTGCAATGAGAGTAGCGGGCACCGTAGGTTGTGGAGAGGAGGCGGCCTGGAAGCCATTAAAATATAACGTCATCCACTATTTGGCGCAGTCTCGCTGATTTTGGCCCCCCTTGTTAAAAATCCTGGCTAACCACCTGTTTTTGCGGGTGATTTTTCTGACATATATGATTATGTGATTTGAAAATAGGAGATTTGGGGATCATTTTTTGGACAACCAGAAATTGTTAGCGGACAACCGCTGATTTGATGCCTGGGTTGTCCGCAGGACAACCACATTTTTTTTCTTATTTCGAGCACTGATATATAATATTATTTATTATTTTAACATGAAAAATTACACATAATTATCAGGAGTATATAATGGGAGTTATATAGTCTTCGTTTCTATAATGTACGTCGATGGTTGCTCAATTAAAACTGACTTCTTCTCACTCACTCATTTTTGTTCTTTTTTGTGGTGAGCTACAGTGTCATTGACACTTTCATATTCATTATTATAAAATATAATATCACTACAATTGTAATTCGTAGTGTAAATGTGTTGTTTTCAACTTAATATTAAAGTTACGAGAGGGTCTGGGCTCTCGTAATGTTAAGAGGATATTTGCGAGGATTTTTTGTTCTCGTAACATTACGATGTTTCTGTCAGCGGTTAACGAGTGGAAGTTAATGTTAAGACTAATGTTAAGACTAATTTTGTTTCTGACAACGGGCCCCTGATTTTCAGGAAAAATTGGTTTATCACTAGTTTTGCTGAGACCAGCGAGTGCTTCTCGGACTCGGATAGAAAGTACATCTCTGTCTTTCGTGTGTCTTTCGCGTATCCGCGTATACCTGAAGGTCATCAGGGGCCTGTTGTCAGAAACAAATTTAGTCTTAACATTGGTCTTAACATGAACTCTTTTTGTCTTGTAGACGATTGACAGAAACAGGATACAGAAAAAGTTTCTTCATACGCAGTGTATAGAGATAGAGATCCCGTGTACAAGAAAAAAAAATTACGACAAATGTTAGGACTAATTTTGTTTCTGACATCCTCTCCTGCTGCCTCCTCCTGCTTTCTCTAGGCCGTAATCTCGCTCTTCTTGTCGCAGGTGATATGTCGACGTAGGGAGGCGTCAGGCAAGGTGTTCGCCCTACAGCGCTGGTCTCCCCCTCACATGTAAGTACACAGACACGCCGATGACACGGTGCCGCCATCTACTGGTGTAACGTGTAATCGTCACGGGGTTATCTTCGGTCCGTGTGCTTGGTGTGTGGAATCGTTGTTGTTGCGGCTGGCATGCTATGGTGGTGTGTGGGGAATGACACATATCTCTCTCTGTCTCTCTCTTTCGCTTTCTCTCTGTCTTTCTTCTTTTGCCCTACCATTCTTGGTCTACCCCCGTCTCTCTCCCTCTCTCTCCCTCTCTCCCTCCCTTCCTCTCTCCCTCCCTCTCTCGTCTCTGTCTCTTTCGCTCTCTTTCCTCTCTCTCCGCTCTCTCTCTCTCTCTCTCTCCTTTTCTCTCTTCTCTCTCTCTCTCTCTCTCTCTCTCTCTCCTCTCTCTCTCTCTCTCTCTCTCTCCTGCTCCCTCCCTCCCTCCTCCCTCTTTCCCTCCCCTCTCTCCTAACCTCTCGTCCTCCCTCCCCTTCGCCCTCCCTCCCTCCCTCCCTCCCTCCCTCCCTCCATCCGCTCCCTGCCCTCTTCCTTCTCTCTCTGCTCCTCTCTCTCTCTCTCTCTCCTCTCTCTCTCTCTCTTCTCGTCGCCGCTCTCTTCCTTCTTTCTTTCTCTCCTCTCTCTCTCTCTCTCTCTCTCTCTCTCTCTCTCTCTCTCTTCTCTCTCTCTCTCTCCTTATCTCCCTTCTCGTTTGTTCTCTCTCTCTTTCTCTTCAAATCATTAACGTTTGGGAAGGCATGGTTGCATGCAGCTTCACAGAGCCTCCTCCTCGTCTCTTGCAGTCTCCCCGACAGCTGGGTGCCAGAATCTCAGATCGCCACGACGAAGACCGTGCCGCTGTGCAAGCTACCTCCCGGCCCGCTCGGCTCCATGCTGCCGCCGGAGCAGCGCGGCGCCACGCCGGGCCAGCCCGCCGCTCCGTCGCCCAGGAAACAGCGACGGAAGTAGACAGGAACTATGAGTGTCGCGCATATGTGGCGCCGCGAGTAACTACTACTGTCGCGTGTAGGTGGCGCCACTAGTAACTACTACTGTCGCGCGTAGGTGGCGCCACTAGTAACTACTACTGTCGCGCGTAGGTGGCGCCACTAGTAACTACTACTGTCGCGCGTAGGTGGCGCCACTAGTAACTACTACTGTCGCGCGTAGGTGGTGCCACGAGTAGCTACTGTCGCGCGTAGGTGGCGCCGCGAGTAACTACGACTGTCGCACGTAGGTGGCGGCGCCGTGTGCGCGGTTTGTGCCGTGAGTGTGCGCCAATTAGATAGGGCATTGACGACAGAGGGCGCCGCGACTGCGTGTAGGCGGTAGCAGATGCTGTCACACTGCATCAATGACAGAGGGCGCCATGTCTGCGTGTATACAGTAGTAGATGCCGTCGCGTCGATGTCAGAGGGCGCCACGGCTGCGTGTAGACATCGGCGGGAGCTGTCACCACTCAACGAGCTTAGTGGAGTCAAACCTGTGTTAGCGGCCACCTGTATAGAACAGCCACCTGTCTATAAAGGATGCTTTCGGCATTTTCCTAGAGTGACCCTCATATACAGGTTTGACTGTACTTGTGTGTACGTGTGAGTGTACGTGTGCGCGCGCGTACGTGTGTGTGTGCGTGCGTGCGTGCGTGCGTGCGTGCGTGCGTGCGTGCGTGCGCGTGACTGCATGCGCGCATACGTGACTGCTTGCGTGCGTATGATAGGGTAAGATGAATAGTCAATGCACTGACGTTCAGGGTAGTGTGCTGTTGCCGCCAGTATCCCCGCACCCCCGGGGTTTTAAATGTGAGAAAACGTTCAGATGCCAGGTCAGTGTCTGAGAGACGCACAAGAATTATCATTATTCCGCCGGAAGACGTTCGGAACCTTTGATTTGATCGTAGCGATATAATTAATTGTTTTTCTTTGGTACGTTCGCTAACGCGGATTCACGAATTGGTTGTTCGCTGCGCGGGAAGATCTGTTGTTCTTACTGGAACGATAGCGAACCCGCGTTGTTTACGCATGAACAACTGTCGTTGCCGTGATGCTTCGCGCTGGGTGAGCGACGCGGCAGGGAGCGCACTGCTCTGAACGGATGTTCAAATGTGAGAAGTGTGCGCAGATGAGTGAGTTTAGTGTTTAGGACGCGTCGCTCTCGAGTGCTGAGTCGACGAGATGGACACCTCAACGCCACACACAATGCACTGCCATTACGTAGTTTGCATTAGGGATGTCTTTTTGTTTTGTTGTCGTTGTTTCTTTACGTCGCCCCGTGGGGAGGCGCGAGACGACACAATGTCACTGCACACGATCTTTCAAAAGGGGCGTTCGATCATTAAGACAGCATTTGAAATCTACTTGCCAAACGGGAGATGTCACGCGCAAGACGCCATCCCATGTGGATGGACGGATGGGTGGACAGACGGGGTCCAGTGTAGATGGATGGATGAACGGACAAATAGATGGAAATCGGTTGGGAGTCCAGTGTGGACAGATGATGGATGGACAGACAGACGGAGAGTTGGGGTCACGTGTGGATGAATGAATGGACGTGGGGGTAGAGGGTTGTGGTCTGGTGTAGACAGATGGATGGATAGAAGGTTGGAGTCTACTGTGGATGGATGGATGGACGGACAGATGAACGGAGGGGTTTTGTCCAGTGTGGACAGAGGCTTGGGGTCCGATGTGTAGGACCATACTGAGAGGTAAAGGGTCTAATGTTCTAATGTCAGATTGACTCCACGATGGGTGGGAGTCTTTCATAGGTGAAGACACCCCACCCCTGGGGGGTCTGACAGGGGACAGGCCTTAAGTAGGGGGGTCGGGTCATACGGTGGCCCGCCCTCTGGACCTATCTGTGATACTAATGTAGAAAATCCGCCATCGCGCGGATTAAATCCTGATGATGATAATGACGATGATGATGAATTGTTGAGTCTGTAAGCAGACCTATCAACCAGCTGTTTAGCACTGCCATTGTAAGCTGAAGATGATGATGAGGAGGAGGAGAAAGTATTTAGTAGCTAGATGTAAGTCCGTAGATGTTCTGTTGGGGGAGGGAGGATAGATGGGGTGTGTCGGGGGAGGGCGCGGGTGAAGGGGAAACAGGGCAGAGTAGGAGGGGAGAGGAGGCACGCCCCTAGCGCGCTGCCCCGGCCACGATCGCGTGAACCACCAATCGCGGTGTCCGGCTGGTGGGCGTGTCGTGTGTGTGTGTGTGCGTGCGTGCGTGCGTGCGCGTGCGTGCGTGAGTGTCGCGCGCGTGCGTGCGTGGTGGGGAGCCGTGGCGCGCGTTCCTTGGCGTTTTCTTTTGTGAATATGATTACTATTATTATTATTATTAATATTATTATTATGGCGAGCTGGTCAGGCCACGGGCGGGGCACTCACGTCGTGCGTGTGTGCGTGCGTGCGTGCGTGCACATGTGTGCGTGCGTGTGTGCGTAGTAGCGTTGCGTAGCCTTATTTACCTGTAAGATAGAAGAGTGAGGATCGGCGATGTAGAGACTGGATCGTGGCCGGAGCATCGTTTGTTACTCAGGGCGTCAAGTTCCTATTTTTTCCTATTTTCTCTTATTTTCTGGACAAATTCCTATTTTTTCATATTTTTGAGGGCTTTTCATTTTTCTGAATCCAGAATTGTATGTATCCTTCTCAGAATGCAGGAATTTACATTTCAGGTGACCCAATTTTCAAAAATTTCCTGGGGGAGGACCCTCAGACCCCCATCCCTTACTTTAAATTAATGTAATATACTCTTTACTATCACAGATTTTATTTCAGTAAAGTTGTTTTTCAGTTGGATGTGGTATGTGTATCCAGAGTGGGGGTCCAGGGGGTCTGGACCCCCCCCCTTTTTTACCCCAAAAAAGGGATAATTTTCTGCTTAAAAATTTGGAATTCCATCTTGCATTCTAGACATCAAAATTACTGCTCAGATGCTCTCAGAATGCACCAATTTTTAAATTTTTTCTAAGCCCCCTTTAAGTGGCAACGTGCCTTAGACACGTCGCATAAGCTGCCTTCGGCAACTTTTTATAAAAGTGCCCTTTATTTCTTACTGGAACCCCCCTTTTTCAAAAAGCCCCTGTATACACGTACGTCATACTATTTTGGAGTTGTCTACATGTATGGGTGCTTATGCATGTATAAACTGCTTATCAATTTTAACATGCATTTCTCATTAAAACCTCAAAATATTGTTTGCATGTGATGTAACTCCAAATATGTATATTAATAAAACCATTTGTGGTGGATCGGGATGGATCGATATTTTTTCACATCTGAAATTCCTATTTTCCTATTTTTTGAGCGTCACTTGTCACTTGACGCCCTGTTACTGGTTAAATGTTCGTGAGTTTAATAGTGGAGTTTTGTTTTGCGTGCTTCGTGTACTTTAGTATTTAGGTCTGAGAGCCTGTAGAGACAACTGCCGGGAGCCGGTAGGTAGTAGGAAAGGGAACGGACAAGTGTTGGTGGGTAGTCAGAAAGAGGACTGATGGGGGCTGGTAGGCAGTGGGAGAGGGTACGGGCAGGGGCCGCTGGGAAGTAGAGAAGAGGACCAACAGGGTCCGGTGGGATATCGGTTTTCTAGTTGACTTGTGTGCTGTTTAAGAAACGTGGCTGTAAGAGAGAGCTGGTTCCGTATTTTTGATTTGTGACCGTGTCGTGCTGCATTGGGAGTGCGTATGAAATGCTCTTATCATCTACTGTCTGTTTTTGTGATCAACTTGTTACAAGTGCAAATCTATAACTCTGTGCAGCTATGTACGTGTATGTATGAACAAGCTGCGTGTGTATGCATGTGTGCATACCTTCAGTGGAATGTATGGTGTGTGTATACCTTACACGTGTGCACGTGAATACATGTATACATACGTATGTCATGGTATACGTCTGAAATGCTGGTATACATAATACATAGCAGTCGGTTTAAATTTGGTGTATATTGATTGCAGTTGATATCGTGAGTAACTATTTGCCCACCACCTCACATGGGTTAGGGTCACCTCCCTGACCCCTGTGACCCCCTGTGCCGGTGTCGCGGCAGTGCATTTACGTGTGTACAGTCAAGCCTGTGTTAGTGGACACGTCCGTAGAACAGACACCTGTCCGTAAAGGACACTAGGGGTGTTTCTCTCGACTGGCTGTTGCACAGTTACACCACCTCTCTAGAACGGACACCTGTCTATAAAGGACACCGTTTGGCGCTCACTTGTGTGAGGTTTGACTTTAAATGTTCGTGCGTGTAGTAGTGTAATTGAGATCGGGACCACTGGTCCACTCACACTAGTAACCTCTGACAGCAGCCTGACCGGTGCAGGACCGGATACGATCGGCCGGAATTGACCATCAACTGGATCAGTTAAAAAAAACGGATTTCGTTTATTATTTTATTCCCTTTAGATTATTTTCATCATTTATTTTCATTTCCAATTCACACGAACAGCATTTCGTCGAAACTCCGTAGATTTTGATCGTTTATTCGCGATGTGCACGTTTAGGCTGTGTTCTGCTACGCCGGGGCCTGCGGTTGGTTGCTGGTCGAGGTTACAAGTGGCTGAGTGGTGAATATTCGAGCTTTGGCTCGTAGGTAATGCATGTAATTATAACCTCATCATCTACTCAGAGCTGCTATCGAAGCTCGATGGACATTCGCGTATGTTTTGTCAACAGGGCGCGCTGATGTGTGATGCATTGCCTCCACAGCTATTTCACTGCCATGGGTATAGCCTGTACGCAAGAAGAGTCACCAGCGCCCCCTACCAGCCAGCGGGGGGCGTTTAGGTGGATGTCCTCGCAGGGTCGTGCCGCTAATACGCCTAGGTCACAGAACAGGTGCTACCACCTAATGTGATTATGTAATTACGCCACTGTAATCATTTGAGCAAACGCCAGATTGTGGAATCATAGTGACACAAATGTCGAAGTGATATTTAAGGTAGATGAGAAATTAGATGTTTTTGACTACTAGTGAGTGTTCTTTGCGTGTGTCACGCCACAGTAGATACCCGCACACGTGCATGTCAGGATTTTTTTTGTCGGACGAACGCCAACATTTGCCCGCTACGTGTCGCTGTCGTTGCTGTTCTAGTGTTTTGCTTGCAGCGTCGTGGAGTTGTTTCTGAATCAATGTAAAATTTGTGAAGGGTGATGACAATGATAATGATGATTGATTGACGGATGGATGAATGTTTATGCTATCATAGCCGAAGGTTTGCGAGTGCTGTGTGATGTAGGTTTAAGTAGACGCAGCAATGATGTACATTTGGCATATCTATTTTGCTTTCTGTTTCCCTTTCTTCTTGTCATACATATACACATATACAGGCCCGTAGCCAGGGGGGGGGGGGTTCGGGGGGTTCGCACGAACCCCCCCTCTCCCGAGCCCCTCCCCGAGCAAAAAAAAACAAAACTTTTTTCCATTTGGAAATTTGCAAGAATTTCACCTCAGGACCAGATCGCTCCATTTTAGTGTAATAATTGCAAAATCTCCATCGTGCAAAATCTCCCACACCCTCCCCCGGCTCGGTCACTTCGCGCCCTCACAAATTGCCAACATTTAAAAACGAATCCCCCCAATATAAAGCTGTCTACGGGCCTGCATATATATATATAATTTTTATGCGTGTACATTTTAATTCTAATTTTGCCTTGATGCTCTTGTGTCAGTGCCCTTCCCACCTGACAGGTGGCGCCGCAGTGTGTTAGCAAGCATTCATGTGTTGTTACCGCATCCGTGACTAGCATGCTAGTCACGCGGATACTCTGGTTCATGGAAACATATGCCGACCGCTAGGTAGCTACTAACGCCACCTGCACTGACTTGGCTGGTCGTGCTGCCCCCCTGTGGAGGCAGCTACAGCTGCATGCTGCCATGCGTTTAAGTAGTTGTGAAGTGTTTTTGTGTCAGCTACCTCTCTTTAACCCGATCCCTGACCTTCAAGCAGATTCATTCCACCACACACCGAGTAAGCTTCAAAATTGCTAGCAGACGATCTGTGCGATCGCTGGCAGACATGTGAACATCGTTGAGCTAACGTAATTACTGTGTCTGAGGTCAACATGGCTTTACTGTTGGTGTAACAGTACTGTAGTGACTGTAGTTATCTATCCTTGTATATAGATATAACTGCGTCATAACCTGTATACACAGCCACCACAGACTACTACATAACCTTTAGATAAAGCAACAACAGACTACAACACAAATTCTAGATAAAGCAACAACAGACTACAACACAAATTCTAGATAAAGCAACAACAGACTACAACACAAATTCTAGATAAAGCAACAACAGACTACAACACAAATTCTAGATAAAGCAACAACAGACTACAACACAAATTCTAGATAAAGCAACAACAGACTACAACACAAATTCTAGATAAAGCAACAACAGACTACAACACAATCATTCGATTAAGCAGCAACAGATTACAATGCAATATCTAAAAAAGCAACAGCAGATTACAACACAATCTCTAGATAAAGCAACAACAGACTACAAGTAACAACACGATCACTAGATAACAGTCTACAACAGCCTACAACAGTCTACAACACAGCCTGTAGACATAGTTACAACAGTCTACAACACAGCCAGGAGACAAGCTACAACAGACTACAACACAGTCAAAGACAGCTACAACAGCTTACAACAGCCTGTAGACATAGCTGCAACAGACTACAACACAACCAAAGACAGCTACAACAGCTTACAGCAGAATCAGACAGCTATAGCAGCTCACAACCGCCTGTAGACATAGCTGCAACATACTACAACAGCTCACAACCGCCTGTAGACATAGCTACAACATACTACAACAGCTCACAACTGCCTGTATACATAGCTGCAACATACTACAACAGCTCACAACCGCCTGTAGACATAGCTACAACATACTACAACAGCTCACAACCGCCTGTAGACATAGCTGCAACATACTACAACCGCCTGTAGACATAGCTGCAACAGACTACAACAGCTTACAACACAGCCTGTAGGCATAGCTGGTGGCAGTAGGCAATTCTCACAAGCGCCACGCTGGTATGCAGGTCCATCCAACAGATGTCACTACCATCTGACTTATCACTCTTACTACGTCCATTCTATTCCCGACCCCCTCCCTATACCATTTCTGTAACCAAAGTTTTGTCTTTTCGTTGACATCTACTGGTTGTTAGCTAGTGTGATTCTGTCATTATTTATCACCATAGGTATGTAGATTTGTACATTTAATAATAAATGCATCCACTGTCAAAAGTATTATATATATAGCTATATATCTACTTCTGTTGTTTTTACATATTGTTGCCAACAAGCCAGTAGTACAGTCTATGTAGTAGAAGTCTTCCATGTACACTTTATTGATACCACGGAGCTGGATATAATAACAGTGTTATTATATACATTGATATATATATATAATATATATTTCGCAGCATACTATAGCAATTTTGACAGGAGACAGTGCTGCCAATGAAAGGTGTTGGCTGCATTCGAATTTTCGCGCATTGTAATGAAGATTTTTATCAGCAAGATATACAGAACAGTCATTCTCTTATTGTAGTCGTCATTATTGATTTTATCAAGAACTCACTAATCACAGAGCTGCAATAAGGGGTATGCACTTGGTATTATCAAAGGCAGTATGCAATTTATATAGATTTTTTATATTATTTATTCTTTTTATTATCGACATTTCGACAGCAAGTGTGAAACTCTGAGACTGAAGTTAATTCATGTTTTTACGCTTGCCCTGGGTAAATTGGTTATCAAACTAGTTGTGTCGAGTGAGGAAGTGACCCACGTTTCAGCGAAAAGAGTACGAACTACACGTAAAGGAAGGGAGAGCCCATGCATGCGTAAATACCTGCAGTGTGTGTCTCATCCATCTCACATCTGCTTTTATTGCGCGTCAGATGCCATATAATCGGCTGGATAAATTTATACACGTAGCGCATGTACACACTTCTTACATTTGTACACTGCAATACAGTCCAGCTGGTCGCATTATAATGAACACTGATGTATGTATGCATACTATATTATACTGGTAAGTGCTAATAATGATACGTAAGTGCTTCATGAATATGGGTCAGAAAAGTCTAAAGATACCGTTTCGGGGGGGGGGGGCAAGTAGTAAACTAAATTTCCAGACAAAAGTAAGTACAGTCCGTGAATATTATTAACACGTTTACATATACTGTCGAAATAATTGTGCAATTACTCATGAAGTGAGTGTCATGAACATATTGTGTACATGTAGCTATTACCATGAACTATTGCTACTGCGGCTGATGATGATGATGATGATGGTGGTACTCCTGCTGCAGCTGTTGCTGGGGCTGTGCTGCTGCTGCTGCTGCTGCTACTACTACTATTACTGATGCTGCTGCTGGCAATGGTTATAAACATATGGTATGCTCTCCCCTATAGCCCCCTCCTTGGTGAAGGATGGTGGCTGCATGTTTGCAGCACACCCTAATCGATAGCTCCACTCCTTGGTGGCTGGTGACCTTACGTCAAGGGCAAGTCCTCAACCGTAGTCATCTCTTGATGATAGCTGAGGAAAGCGATCCCTCACGTCCAGAGCATGTCTGGCACGAGCCCCTCTTTCGTTGTAGCTGGCGGTCTTATGTCCACGTCAGCTAGGAAATGCAGAGGCAAGAAGACGAGATATCCCTTGACCCTCAACAGCTGCTCTCTTGCTGCATCAACGTCCGTGATCGCCAGGTGGCGCTTTGCCCTTTCTTTGTAGTCGGCCAACTGCTCAAACGTGCGCACGAGGTCTGTCGGGATGCAGTTGAACACCTGAAGAAAAATACGAGGTCAAGCCAAGATCGAATGGATACTTCTGCGTGAGAGCATACATAATACAGGGTGATATAAGACATAAGATAATACAAAAGACAGCGTAACATGAGAAATATGACCATACAGAATACAGGGTAACCTAATATGGGGGACTGTTCGTAAGACAGGGTAACATATTCCAGGGACCCACACGTGAGTCAGGGTTTCATAAAACAAGGTACCATACGTAGGACAGGGTAACATAATACTGGGTAACGCAAGATAGGGGGGCCGTGCATAAGACAGGTGACATAAGACAAGAAACCATGCATAAGCTCTAACAAAAACAGGGCAACATACGCCAGGGAACCATACTTAAGACAAGGTAACAGAAGACAAGAGACCTTGCATAGGACAGAGACAAACAAAGTCACAGGGTAACATATGCCAGGGAACCATGCTTAAGACAGGGTGACACGAGACAAGCCTGTAGATCAGCCAACACGGGCGTTGCTGGACTAACACTGAGGGAGAGAGAGATACCTGGTCAAAGACGCGTGTGTTGATGGCTGACGTCGTCATCCACACGTGCGTGTAGAAGTGATCGCTGACCGGGTCGGCAACAACATCAGCACCTCCACTGACGTCCATCAAGCCAAGCAGCTCCCTGTGTGTCACAACCATAGAAATATACAGAGACACTAGTAGAGACTATATAGACTAGTGTAGTATTTCTCTGGTCACAACAGTCTACGATGCATTCATATGAGACGCAAGCAACGGCGATGGTATGTTATCTGCCAAGGCAAGGTAATGTTCTTCCTCTGTGTGTAAATTGTTTGTTTCTATCTTTCCACAACTCATCAATATATAAATAATGTAATTAATATACATTACATTAAGAGTAGCATAATTAACATAAGAACTTAATTATATTGCTCCATGCGCATATGCACACCCATGCGCATGCATGCACACACATAATACTTATATAGTACATCATCAGTTGTCACTACTCTGAGTAGTATAATGATAAGGTTGGTTCGATGATTATTTAAGGAAGAGAGATGAAGAGTTCTCACCTGAACACCTGTGTGCGGAGTGAACCCACGAACAGTCCCCTCTGACCTTCCTTGCCATCGAACGTACACGGAACAAACTCCGTGTCTTCAAAGATGGCCGCTGTCTCGCTGTCCCTGCTGCCACGCATGCTGCGCTCGTTGATGTTGGCAGAACCTATGATGCAGAGGCGATCGTCTACGATCAACATCTTGCTGTGGATGTAGATCAGCTCAGATACCTACAAACGTGAGAAATTTGTTTGATAAATATCTCCTCATTTATAGTATCAGATAGCTGCTGTTTACTAAATATGTTATTTTTTTATTATAATTATTATTATCATCACTATTATTATTATTATCATTATTATTATTATATTAGTCAATGTAGACTTAAAAATGTCATAATGAATAATATAAAATTTCCAAGTTTACGGAACTTGATAACGAAAGTGTGTGAGTCTACATGTGTGAACGGTATCAGGGGATCTGCATTTGTACACATTACATACGTGATAGAGTACTCAGGACTGTAACTAGTGGGGGGGGCAAGGAGAACAGTTTCCCTCTCTCCCAGAGAAATGTAGATACATTACTGTCAGTGGCGGTCACCTTCTCAGAACACACCACGCATGCGGCTCCCCCCCCCCACCAGGTAAAATGGGTTAGCTACGCTCCTGGTAGTCCAGCATTCACACCATATCGTATCATTGGTGATCAACCGTCTATTTCCTTTACACCAGCACGCTGGCAGGTACATGGCACTTACCGGTTGTCCCCTCAGTTCCCCGTGCGTACGCGTGCCATGGAAGCTGATGTACTCTTGAGAAGGTATTCCTAAGATGAAACAGGGAGCAGTTATTATGTAACGTTACATGCCTGCGTTCCAGTCCCGCATTCTGCCACTTGTGAGAGAACATTCTCGTGAAATCGAAACCGAAACTAATTGATTTAGTTTGGTGTAAATGTACAGAAAAATGCAAGTATGCAGAACCCACCACACACCCACACCACACGTATATCATACTGTGTCACCACACCAACAGACCACACCACCACACACCCACACCGCACGTATATCATACTGTGTCACCACACCAACAGACCACACCACCACACACTCACACCGCATGTATATCATACTGTGTCACCGCACCAACAGATCACACCACCACACACCCACACCGCACGTATATCATAGTGTGTCATCGCACCAACAGAGCACACCACCACACACCCACACCGCACGTATATCATACTGTGTCACCGCACCAACAGACCACAGCACCACACACCCACACCGCACGTATATCATACTGTGTCACCGCACCAACAGACCACAGCACCACACACCCACACCGCACGTATATCATACTGTGTCACCGCACCAACAGACCACAGCACTGCACGTACGTCGCACTGTGTGTCACCTATATACACTACATCACCTACCAGCTGCGCTCAATCTCTCCAGCAGGGAATTGCCGCCGCGCGAGATGGAGGTGTACTGCCAGTGAGTGACAGCCTGAATCGCGTAGCCGCTAGGAGCTCCTACTTCTCCCTCGAAGCCTGGCAGGAGGGGCATCACGACGTACACCCTGCATGCGTGAGAGAGACATGACAGCACCATCGTGTAAAACAACAGTTAGGAAGCCTGGCAGGAGGGGCATCACGACGTACACCCTGCATGCATGAGAGACATGACAGCACCATCGTGTAAAACAACAGTTAGGAAGCCTGGCAGGAAGGGCATCACGACGTACACCCTGCATGCATGAGGGATACGAAAGCACGTGTAAGAAACCTGTTACGAGGTAAGTGTTGTGCGGAATATCGCTGTCATGTGCACGTAAATCTTTAACGTGATTCTACTATCACGGCATCGACGCATTCTTTAAATGATCTATATGCTGTGTCTCAATACTAACGGAAATACATGAAGTATTCCTTAAAAACAAAGTATGAAAATGGTAAGATTCTCTTAATTAATGAACTCTCCACCTAACATTGCTTTCATCTCACCTCGTATTTTTAGCTCCTTTGTTATGACTTCTTATATTTCTGCTTTTTCTTATCCTCTTGGTACCCCGGTGGGACATAAGGCTGTTATATTTCTGATATTCTCCTGATATTTCGCTTCGTTATGATTTAGCTTATAGTGAGTTGACGTGGGCGTGAGTATATTCACCTGAAGTTCTCGCCTGCCTCGTGAGCCTGCCGGATGCGATCGAACAGAGCCTGAGCAATGCCGTTAATCACAACAGTGCTGTCCATCTGTGTGATGAAGAACTGATTCTGTAAAGTAAGGAATACACAACGTGACAGAGCATGTGTGTGTATGAGAGAAGCTGCAAGAGAGAGAGAGAGAGGACAGGAGAGAGACAGAGAGAGAGAGAGAGAGAGAGAGAGAGAGACAGAGAGACAAAGAGAGAGAGAGAGAGAGAGACTCACGACAACCAGAAGACATAGATACCACAAAAAATCGTGCAACAAAAAAGGTGCATGTTCAATTTTGCTCACGACGGCAAGTCGATGCCACGATGCTCAAAATTTCGTAGGACTGTCTTGCCGACGACCCCGATGACCACGATTTGCCCAAATTTTCCTGTCGTGTCGTTGCACAAATGCGTCGTTGCTCGGTTGTGACCAGGGCCTAAGGTTACAACCTCATTATCTGAGCAAACTGTTAATGAACACGGTCTTTCTGATGCACGATTGTACATTATCTGCAAGATTTTCATTATATTCCACACTCCAGGACATTGTTAACACGATGAGTCAATGCAATGGATATAGATAGTACAAAAAAAATAGGTATAAATTACTTCTGGTAAAACTCGAGATACAAGCGTTTTCACATTCGCAGCCAGACGCCTTACTTTGGCATGCGTTATCCAACGCTGTCACTGAGAAGTGGCGAAAAACGAGGCGCAGCGCTAGGAGCGAGCTGCCGTAGACACAGCGGAACCGCATGTCGTGCCACCGGATCCAGCAGGCGTCGTCTTACGGTCAATCTGGTCTTCAAACACAAGAACACCTTTATGTATAACAATGGCAGCCATGTTGTTTATCTTCTATTTCTTATCTTCCTATAATTTCTCCCTCTTTCCTTCCCCTCTCTCTCTCTCTTTCCTTACTCTCTCCTCGTGGGGGGTACCTGAGAAAGGGGCATCAAGATTGGGTCACGTCCCTTGAGAATGAAGTTGGAATAATCCTTGCCGACCCACAGCCGCTTGTCGTTAGTGTCCACAGAGAACGCCTTTGGCAGTCGCGGTGGGTTTATTCTGAGAGCCAACAAGTCACATATGAATACGATTAGATTATATAATAGATGTTTGTTAATCTGCACAATGAAGAACTATTTCACACAGTAAACAGACTTAGAAACCTAATATTGGGCATCCGCCGCCACTCTCCAGAGAACTTTACACTGCAGTATATGACGCGACTTCATGTTAGCAGGAGTGTCATAATACATAGGTGTGGTAGGCTTGTGTGTGGTGTGTGTGCTGTGTGCTTGTGTGTGGTGTGTGTGTGTGGCATAGGCTGCTGTGTGTCTCGTGTGTGTCTGTGCTGTGTCTGTGTGTGTCTGTGTGTGTTCCTGTGGGTGTGCTTGTGTGTCGTGCGCGTGCGTCGTGCCGTCGTGCGTGTGAGGCCTGTGTGTGTGTGTTGTGTGTGTCTATTATACATGACACCTCCTGGTGTTACCGAATGATAACAATATTTTATCAATGATTATATGCTGTATGTCGTCGCTGTGCCAGCCACACACGTGGCTCCCCCGTGGTGTGTGATGATACCTACTGCTGTGCCTTACAGCGCAATACCGCGCGCTTCCAGTAGAATCGTGCTCGAAGCTTCTCCATTCTCGTCTTTGCCTTCCTCAGCTGCCCTCGGGAGAAAACGTGTTACCATGGCAATACAAGATGACTCGAACGCTTTTACATACCTCAGAAACATGGCAGGATGCAACCATTAAACATTGCGATTTGAAGCAAAGCAATGGGTAAGTTTTGTTAGCAGTGTAATAATATAGGACAACCCGAATTGATGACATTCTCATACGAATACATACAATACGTATTTTATTTCTGTAATGATACGTGTCTTGATGGTTACGTGGAACTGACTAGAGGGTGAATGATGGTTGCCATAGAAACTTGCCCAAGTGCCCATATAGTGTCCTCTGGTTTGGTAAGTGCTTTGGAGCCCTGGCAATCCTTATTGCCTAGTGCCTCAGTGTTCGGAATCACTGCTGGCGGCTGGCTACCCACTGCGAGCTGGCCAATTCTCGTGGCTGATCCATGATCTATGTTATGAATTGGTCTCACAGCTGTTCCCTACAAGATATAGTTTTAGGCAATCATAGTCACGATATACACACATGTCACTGCACATAGTTCTGTCTTCTGCCTGCTGCTAATTCCTATGCTTCTTCGCTTTCTCTTGTCTATTCTCTCTCT